CGGGAGTGAGTGAAGACTCACAGTAACGCATAGCATAGAGTGTATGCCATACACATGTTTTTGCTAATGCGGGAGTCAGTGCGGGACCTCACTCCCGCGCTTGCTTTGCGGGATTCCCACTCCCGCGCCTCACTCCATACACTGTAGTCCCACTCCCGAGCGCGGGAGCAGGTCCCGCGCAAAACCCCACTCCCGCGGGACCAGTTCTTCGCTGATTAGTACCGATGCCTTAGTGGTAGCCGGGGGTACCGGTGCCATTGTGGGTGAAAGTCCAGTTGTCTGAGCACGTCATAAATTCGGACTTCGATAGTACGGAGCTCCACCTCATACTCGGCAATACGACGGGGTGTCTGGGCGTCCACGAGTTCAGTGGCCATGTGCTCGAGGCGGAGTTCCTCCCGACCCAGGGCACGGGCAGCCTGTTCAGCCTGGTCATGTACTCATGGAGGTTATGGCAATCTCCTCGGTCATGTACTCTTTGAGTGTTTTGGCCTTTTTAAGTAGGGTTTTCTGAGTTTCCGTTTCCTTGTCGATGGGGTTTTCCTAATTAGATAAATAGAGTGAAAAATATTTGAATTTTTAATTTAAATTAACTAATGAATAGGTGCTGGGTACATTAAAAATTGAATAGAGTTAGTTATAAACTGTAATTTTAGAATGAATAAGTAGTTTACATGGTTAAATATTTAACTATTAATATTTTTATTGGGGAGATCCAGCTATCATTTAATTATTTTTGTATTTTAACAAGCTAAATCACAAATAGCATAATTGAAAATATGAATACTTATTTGCCAATAACTACTAGTTACTAAATTTACAACTTGTAAAATTTTAAAAAATAATGTTAAGTTATAAATATATTATAATTTACTTATTATTGTTGGAACCTATTCGAACACCATATATTTTTTAAACAAGACCAAAATTTATCTCTATATTTTAATTAATATTAACAAACACAACCCCGCCAAAAACCCCGTTACCTCGATCACCACGCCTTGATCGATACGGACGATCGCCTCCTCCAGCAGTTTCAGGGCCTCCGTCCGGGACTCGAAGTCTTTAACTCATTAACCAGGCTTTCGGTGCGCTATTCCTCCGCCAGGAGCTCACCCGCCAAGTGCTCCCGTTTCTCGGCCTTCAGTTTCTTGACAGTGGCCTTAATCCGGACCCCCAGTGCCTCACTCCGTTTGATCAGCTGATCCCTGTATACATGGACAGGGGAACGGGTGATGCATACCCGGGCGCGGTGATAGGGTCGGGTAGGGCCGGAGCTGCCAATGAGTTTGTAATTACAAAGTTTTTTTAATTTAAAACTGTTATAAAGTATTATTTTAAATTAATGTTCATGTATATTATTTTTTAAAAAGTTGTATGGTTCGATCGATGGAACTTGTTATTTTTAGAAATATATTTACTAACTTAATTTTTATAACTAGACAAAATTGTTTTTAAATATATTAATTATAAATTAATTTTAAATTTTGTTTATACTTATAGCACAGATATAATATGATCATAGTGTATAATAATGAAATCTTTATAAAAATTATTACTTTATATATCTATAATTTTTAATTAATATTAGATCAAAACTTTATTTTATTTTATAATAGTTTTGCATTTGAAGTATGTAATGTTAATGTAAAGTTTATTTTTTCTAATTTGTGGTGTAAATTTTATTTATGGGATTCAATAAGTTGATAATTAAGTTAGTTAAAAATTACTGTATATTTATTTGATGTTTTTCAAAAAATAAATAACAAATAAAGCACATAGGTAGAACTTTTTTAAATTAATAATTTATTATACTAAATTCAACAACAACTGTATATTATATACAATCAATTATTAAATATGACTATTTATTTTAAAACATAATTAACACGCTCAATTAAGCTTTAGTAGACGCGGGTACCGGTGCTTTTGTAACATATGCAATCAATTATTAAACATAACAAAATCAACACGCTTAATTAAGCTTTAGTAGGAGGGTGTGGCATATAGGTACCGGTGCCGGTTGACGTAGTAGTAGGCGGGACTGTTGTAACCGGACTCGGGGTGGGTGTAGGCGGGTGAAAATCCAGTTGCCTGAGCACCTCATAAATTCGCACTTCGATAGTACGGAGCTCAACCTCATACTCGGCGATACGGCGGGGTGTCTGGGCGTCCACGAGTTCAGCGGACAACTGCTCGAGACGGAGTTCATCCCGGCGCAGGGCACGGGCAGCCTGTTCAGCCTGATGCCGGTGCTCACCAGTCACGTTTTGTAGTATGGCAATCTCCTCGGTCACGTACTCCTTGAGGATTTTGGCGTTTTTAAGTAGGGTTTCCTGGGTTTCCGTCTCCTTCTCGATGAGTCTCTCCTATATAATTGAAATTAATTTAATTTTAGTTTTGATTTGTACTTGGTCATAAAAAGGGTAAGTTTTAACTATACGCTAGTGATGTTTATTTGATAAATTGTGAAAGTTTTAGACTGTAATGTTGTTTAAATATTATTATGCGAGTATGCTCGTTAATATCTGGTACTCATACGTTTTAGTGGTATTTTATTGATTAACATGCACAGTGTTAATAGTAATTTTTAAATAATTATAATTATACTTTTGAATGTTCTGTCAAATTTTATGAGAAATAATAAATCACGTACAAACTGTACATGATACACCAAACTAGAAAAAAATTAATACAAATTTCATAAAATTGAATAAACATTTGGAACAATAAAAATTACTATTAAAATTTTTAAGTAAGTTCAATTATTATTTACAAAATGAACTTGATTATTTACCTCAATTTCCACGCGATCCTCAATACGGGTGATCTCCGCCTCGAGGAGTTTCAAGGCCTCCGGTCCGGGACTAGTAGTCTTCAACTCGTTGATCAGGGGTTCGATACGCTGTTCCTCCGCCAGGAGCTCACCCGCCAAGTGCTCCCGTTTCTCGTCCGTCAGTTTCTTGACGGTGGCCTTAATCCGGGCCTCCAGTTCCTCACCGCGTTTAATGAGCAGATCCCGGACCGGGTCGGCAGCTCGGGTCGTGCCCGGGGCGCCGGTTGTCGGGGCCGGTGGTACTTCAGTGGGTGCCGCCAACGAGTCTATAATTAACAACAAAAAACTATTAATTTAAAAATTGTTCTAGATAGATCATTTTTTACAAATGATTATCTTTAATCAAATTTATTAATTTTAACAAAAAACATATTTTAAATTAATTTTATTGTTAGACTTACAGCACACGAGTGCAGCAAAAACTATAATGATTTTCATTTTACAGTTTGTTTTCGAGTTATTGTGTATTAGTTTCCCACAAAAAATCTACTTTTAAAACACAATCTTTGATATAAAACTATGAGCCCTTATATACTAACAGTTAAATAACGGATGTTTTTGCTATCTATATCACTGGCACTTTCAGAGGAATCTACCTGTCCTTAAGATTTGAAAATCATAATAATGGGAACAGTAGTCACAATGATAGGCGTCTAATCATTTCTGAATAAACCTTAGCCTTAATTTTCAGTTAAAAAATAACATATTGTTTGACATTTATTTCTTGGAAAAACGTTTTCTAATAGATATAATTTGATCAAGATGTTTAATAGTTAAAATCTCTATAAAAATAATTATTTAGTTGAAGTTCTATTTTATATTTAATTAAAATTTTGTTTATTTATTAATTATACTGAATTTTAAGTATATAATTTATTTTTACTTTATTAATTAATTAATTATAATTATAATTATTTTCACTAATAATTATTACTGTTTACATTTAATCAAAACTAGAAAATTGTGTCATAATGTATATTGCAATTTACAGAAATTAATCTTAACTCTTAAATAAGGACCCAGTATCAATTTAGAAAGTAGTGATAATTTAGTAAGCTTTTAATGATAATTTTTTTGCTTTAGTGTTAAATGACGTTTGGGTTTGAAGCGGACCTAGATGATCTGTTGATTAATTTAGTACATAATATTCATTATGTAATTATTGAGCATATTCTGTTTATTTTATCAAAAATAGTTAACATTAAAAATTAATATAATAAATAAGTTAAACTTAAGTTAAGTTAAAGTTAAGTTACGGTACTTATTTATTATTTATTTTAGCTGATTTATTATTTGTTTACAGTATACTTATAATTACAAATATCTTACAATTAAAATTAATAAACAATAAATGAATTCATTGAAATTGAAAAATGTCACTACAATAACATAAAAACAACATTTTATTGATTGTCTGGTATATTTTTATTATCTTATCATAATAGACGCCAAATGCCAGCCTATCAAATCAATTCATAAAAATTATCTCACCTTTCTAAATAAAAACATTTGTTACAGTATACTACTAAACAGAAAATATTTTTCAGAGAAATTATTTTTGAAATCAAAAGTACTAATAATTATTTGCGCAATTCATATTTATTGTGAATTTTATAAGTACTTATAAATAAATAGATTTTAACTTTTCAAATTAAATATTTATTACACTATTTTTAAATAGCATTACATTAAATAATCAAGTTAACATTATAACTTATTAAATGATTTACCAAAACACCAATTTACTGAACCAAGTGGGAGGCTTAGTGGGGGGCTTAGTGGGCGCTGGTGTTGGTTTAGGAGTAGGGGCGGGTGTTGGCTTAGGAGTAGGGGCGGGTGAGGGGGTGGGTATAAAGTGTAGATCGCGGAGCGCCTCCTCGATGTTCACTTCGATGACCCGGAGCTCCACCTCATACTCGGCGATACGACGGGGCGTCTGGGCGTCGACGAGCTCTTTGGCGATCTGCTCGAGACGGCTCTCCTCCCGGCGCAACCTCTCGGCCGCCCGGAGCGCCTGTTCCTTCTGAGGACCTGTCACGTTTTGCAGTATGGCAATCTCCTGGGTCACGTACCCCTTGAGTGTCTGGGCGTTTTTAAGTAGGGTGTCCTGGGCCTCCGTTTCCTTGTCGATGAGTCTCTCCTGTGAATTGTGTGGGATTTAAAATGTGAATGTTTTTGTTAGGAAAATTTATCTTGATTAAATTAAACTGTATAATATGGTATATACTGCGTGATATTTTAATAGGCTGTATTTATTTACTAATTAAATGTTAAGTTATTTAAGGAGAGTAACTTGTTTAGCTAGTGGAATGTAGAGATCTTGAAGTTTTTGTAGTTAGTTAATTTTATTTATTTTTTGTTAGTCTAAAATATTAATATCATTAGCCAGCTTTTTTCTATTATTTATTTATTTATTTTTAATATTTTTAGCAAAAGTATTTTTATCTAATTAATTATCTTATAGACTTGCAAACTGTAACTGCAATCTAGCAGAAATAAGAAAGCATTGAAAATATTATAAACATATTTAATTATTGGCTTATTTATAATCTTGAGAACCTAGTTAACATTGTTTTTACCATAAAACCAATAACTCATTTTAAAATGAAAAATGTTTTATAAACTGTAAACCAGGAATCTAATAAAAATATATACCTTTTTATATTATAACATATTAAAATTATTGGAGTGTAGTTCCCAGGACTTTTATATATATATAAACTTAAATAAATTAATTTTAGCCCTAAATCTGTCTAGTTAATTTAAATTAATTTTTAAAATAAAATTTAAAAACTCATCGCCAAAACCCCTTACCTCGATATCCACGCGATCCTCAACACGACCGATCTCGGCCTCGAGAAGTCTCAGGGCCTCCGGTCCGGGACTAGTAGTCTTCAACTCATTGATCAGGGCTATGACACGCGCTTCCTCCGCCAGGAGCTCACCCGCCAAATGCTCCCGTTTCTCGGCCGTCAGTTTCGCGACGGTAGCCTTAATCCGGGCCTCCAATGTCTCACCGCGTTTGATCAGCTGATCCTTGACTGGATCTACCGGGGCGACAGTCGCCGCCAACGAGTCTATAATTAACAAAAATATATGAATTTTAAAAATAATTTTACAAATTCTAGCTAAACCCTTTTTACAGGGATTTTGATAAATAAAATTTAAAAATTGTAACATAAGTTTATTATAAATTAATTTTTTAATCTTATACTTACAGCACACGAGTGCAGCGAAAACTATAATGATTTTCATTTTACAGTTTTTACTTTCTGTTCAGAAAAATCTACTATTTCTGGAAAAACTACCAGTGCTTATATACTCATTTGCGAGACTATATCAAAGTGCATGTTTATACATTCTTTCAATATATCGCTGATACGAAAATCGAAAGCTATAGTACCTGTTCACATGATCTGGCACAACTAATAATTATATCAATATTTATGATAAATAGGATTAGTTTCAAGTTGTTTCACCTTAGCCTTAATTAAATGTTAAAAATAGTATTTTGTTTGATATTTACTACATTACTAGAACACCATTAAATAAATAATTTTAATTAATTAAAGCCAGCTCAAATTGAATTGGCTTTTATAATTATAAAACATTTTTAGTATCTTTTTTTAAAATGAACTTTGTTAGTGTATGTTTTAAAATAAACTAGCTACTAGAGTATTTAATTGCTATCAATATACAGTTCTGTAATTAATAAATGTATTTATATTTTATTAATTAATTAATTAGTTTTATTTTTTTAGTCCAAACGTATCAAGGAGATTTTTTTATAAAACAAAAAATCCAAAAAGGTACGGGTAACATTAAAAATAAATACAGTACCAGTTATCAATACACTTTAGTAAAGTTATGATATTTTATTGAATGGTTATCAGCAATGTTAGTGCGAGTGGTGTTATTTGTGCAAAACCGGAGCTTGATGAATTCATGATTAGTTTATTACATAATATAATGTTTTCTAACTTTTATCATGATTTGTAGGGACTATTATTATATTACTAGTATGGTTAAGTGCAAAATTAGTTTATAAGTTGATTTGTAGCATTTAATTGCCTAACGTTGATCCAAAAGTGTTTTGCAAAAATATGCCCAACATATTAAATTTGTCCAGAATCACTTTTATAGCTATAAACATTTTAATGAATACTTTAATTGGATTTATTTTGCTAATGAATATTTAGTAAAACTTATAAAAATAACAAATAGATATAATAATTAATCATTTATTTATTTCAGTTTAGTGAGTGAGTGAGTGAGTGAGTGTGAGAGAGAGAGAGAGAGAGAGAGAGAGAGACTGTTATTATAAACCTAGATTGTATGTAGATTTATACTAGGTATTAGTTAAGAGAATAATTAATATCAGTTTATTTTAATATAAATAAAACTAATTATTTGTTTAATAGTACATAAACCAGAAATGCAAATAACACCAGATTTATAATGATTAATTAGTTTTTATTTATAAATATGGACTAGTTACACATAATTGAGCATAGTAATAATTTTAAACACAAATAACATATCATTTTACGCAGCCTGTGTGGTAGGTCTGGGCGCACCGGTAGTGGGCTGCGGGGGTCGGGTGCGATCGTCGCGCTTAATAATGTCAGCCAATCGGTTCTCAATGACCAGTAACTCAACCTCCAGGCGCTCTACCTCTCGCTCATCCTTAGCCGCCTCCAGTTCCTTAGCGATACGCTGAACGGCCTCCACCTCCCTGTTCAACTCCTCGGCCTCCCGGGTCTTGCCCTCGTCCTTCAACTTCTTGCTCTCCGCCTGTCCCTCCTTTTCCAAGTCCTGGGCCCTCTTCAGTAGGTCCTCCTTCAAGTCATTTAGGAGGGCACCGGGAGCGCCGGTAGTAGGTCTCGGGGCGCCTGTCGTAGGTCTGGGCGCACCGGTAGTTGGCTGCGGTGGTCGGGTGCGATCGTCGCGCTTAATCAAGTCATTCAGCCTATTCTCGACCCCCAGTAGCTCAACCTCCAGGCGCTCCACCTGTCGCTCATCCTTAGCCGCCTCCAGTTCCTTAGCAATGCGCTGTACTGTTGCCACCTCCCTGTCCAACTCCTCGGCCTCCCGGGTCCGGCCCTCGTCCTTCAACTTCTTGCTCGCGTCCTGACCGGCCTTCTCGAGCTCCTGTGCCCTCTTCAGTAGGTCGTCCTTAATGTCGCGCCTGACTCTGGGGGCGACGGTAGATGTCGGTCGGGGAGGGCGGGTTCGCTCGTCCCGTTTAATGGTCTCAGCCAATCGGTCCTCAATGATCTTCAGCTCGGCCTCCAGGCGCTCGATTTGCTTTTCATCCTTAGCCGCCTCCAGTTCCTTAGCGATACGTTGGACGCCCTCTATCTCCTTGTCCAGTAGGTCTGCCTCCACTTTCTTGCCCTCATCCCTGAGCTTCTTGCTCTCTGCCTGTCCCTCCTTTTCCAACTCCTGGGCCCTCTTGAGTAGGTCGTCCTTGACATCATTGGGCGCGCCGGTAGTGCTCGGTCTCGGGGCGCCTGTAGTAGGTCTGGGCGCACCGGTAGTCGGCTGCGGAGGTCGGGTACGATCGTCGCGCTTAATCAAGTCGTTCAATCGGTTCTCCACCTCCAAGAGCTCAACCTCCAGGCGCTCGACCTGTCGCTCCTCCTTAGCCGCCTCCAGTTCCTTAGCGATACGCTGTACTATAGCCACCTCCCTGTCCAACTCCTCGGCCTCCCGGGTCCGGCCCTCGTCCTTCAACTTCTTGCTCGCGTCCTGACCGGCCTTCTCGAGCTCCTGTGCCCTCTTCAGTAGGTCGTCCTTAATATCGCGCCTGACTCTGGGGGCGACGGTAGATGTCGGTCGGGGAGGGCGGGTCTGGTCTCCCCTCTTAATGATGTCGTTCAGTCTGTCCTCAATGACCAGTAACTCAACCTCCAGGCGCTCGACCTCTCGCTCCTCTTTGGCGGCCTCCAGTTCCTTAGCGATACGTTTGACGGCCTCCACCTCCTTGTCCACTACGTCTGCCTCCACTTTCTTTCCCTCATCCCTGAGCTTCTTACTGAAGTCCTGACCGGCCTTTTCCAGATCAGTGGCCCGTTTTAGGAGATCCTCTTTGATGTCACGTTTGGCCAGCGGTACGGCACTGGTATCTAATGGTAAAGCAATGGGTGTTATTCTTATTGGGTATCATAATGATAGAGAAATAGTGAGTGAGTGAGTGAGAGAGAGAGAGAGAGAGAGA